GCAGGAGGAAGCTAAAGTGCTCCCCCACAAGAAAGAGTCATGAGCATATTTACGGGTCCTTTAGCCCTGCAGATGTTTCAGGGTGATGGGGGGCTTCTTTTCCTTCTGTCTGCTATTTAATGAGAATTAAATAGGAAACTGCCAACATCTTTGCTTTGTTTAGTTAAAAAAATGGGGGAAAAAAGAAAACCACTTCCTGCGTTTTCCATGGCTCTGAAGTTAATCCCAACAGACAGCTCAGGTAGGCCTGCAGTTATTTCTATGGCACGTTCCTTTGGGAGACCTCTTCCCAGTTGCTTCTCCTGCTGCCAAATGCTAATTATTTGGGTGAATTTTGCACACTGGGTGCTGCCAGCTCCTTCCTGACCTGCGCCTGGGGTTTGGGCTTCGCTGACAATTCCTCAGCTGTCTTTGGGAGGGTGTCTGGGGGAAGGAGGTTGTGAGGTCTGGTTTGGTTTTCTTTGGTTCCCCTCAGGTAAAACAACTTAGCCCTTTTACAAAGCATCCACAAAGGAAAGATGTCTTTGCTGCTCTGGAGAGGAGCTGGAGCTGCTGCTGCTCCTGCAAACCCCAGGTGGAATTAGAATCATAGGATCACAGAATCAACCAGGCTGGAAAAGCCCTTGAAGCTCATCCAGTCCAACCATTCCCAGCACTGCCAAGGCCACCACTGACCCACGGCACTGTGAACACTTGCAGGGACGGTGACTGTAGCCCTGCCCTGGGCAGCCTGTTCCAATGCCTGAGCACCCTCTGGGGCAGGAATTGTTCCTCAGCTCCATCTAAACCTGCCCTGGGGCAGCTTGAGGCCGTTTCCTCGTGTCCCATCCCTTGTTCCTTGGGAGCAGAGCCCAGCCCCTCCTGGCTCCATCCTCCTGTCAGGCACTTGTAGGGAGCGATCAGGTCCCCCCTGAGCCTTCTCTTCTCCAGACTGAACCCCCCAGAATTAGGGTTGTTTAGAACCCAGTTTGGGACGTCTCCCCTTGGCAGAGCATGGGTGAAGTTCAGACCCCAGTCACAGGGGGGTGGCTCTGTACAAATAAGTAAATGCATTTAAATTTAAAGCCTTTTTCCCCCTGGGGAGGGCTTTGGTGGTGGATGGGGGGTTCCTGGCACCCCTGACCCGCACTGAGCCTCATGCCCACAGGAGCAGGTCTGAGTGTGGTGTACATAGATGTACATCCAAGCAGTTTGAACGATTGTTTTTAATCATCATTTAAGTGATCAGGCAGAAAGCCCACGCTGAAATCTTCCCAAATCTCATTTAACATTTTTATGGGTTTCAGTTATTTTTGTGTTTTGCAGTAGCTGTTGAAATGTTGGGGGTTTCTCCCAATATAGTGTAGCCCTTTCTATAAACATAGGTTTCTCGGGTCAGTTGTACATCTGCTTCCCTCCTCATTTTTGTCACTTTATGCTGTTAGGAGATGTTGACTGAGACATTCCTTATTTATCACATGATTTACTTTTCGCTTACAACTTGAGGAGCATATGGCCAGAAACCACATTCTGCTTCGTGCTTTTTAAAGATATTTATTAGCGTTAGTTAAACAAAACTATCTAAAACATACCCAACCCGTACAAAAGCAGCTTTAGGGAATCATATTTTGAATTGTAAATTATTTTATGTGAGAGATTGTATGGAGGATTATGCAGCCTGTGTTGCAGAGCCCCGGCTCTGGCAGGCAGATGCAGACCCTGCCCCTCTGCTTTTAATTATAAATGAAGAAGTCACTGAATTAAATTACCTGGGTAAACCAGCACACAGGAGAGTTCTCTTTGCCCTTGCTAAAGAGGCTGCTTCATCGAAAGCTGCTCTGACCCATCTGGGCACGTTCTGGTTGCTGGTGGCTAAATGGAGATTTCCAGCAATTCACTGCTTTGACTTGCTTACAGTATTTGTAGTCCTTAAATACCACTGCTTAGAATTTCATAGAATCACAGGATCCAAGACTGGTTTGTGTTGGAAGGGACCTTAAAGCTCCTCCAGCTCCAACCCCTGCCATGGGCAGGGACACCTTCCACTAGAGCAGCTTGCTCCAAGCCCCTGTGTCCAACCTGGCCTTGAACACTGCCAGGGATGGGGCAGCCACAGCTTCTCTGGGCACCCTGTGCCAGCGCCTCAGCACCCTCCAGGGAAGAGCTTCTGCCTAAGAGCTCATCTCAGTCTCCCCTCTGGCAGGTTAAAGCCATTCCCCTTGGCCTGTCCCTACAGGCCCTTGTCCCAAGCCCCTCTCCAGCTTTCCTGCAGCCCCTTTAGGCACTGGAGCTGCTCTAAGGTCTCCCCTTAAGGAGCCTTCTCTTCTCCAGGCTGCCCCAGCCCAGCTCTCTCAGCCTGTCACAATGCCATTATAAAAACTAAGAAATAAGACAGGAAGGAGAGATCAGGCCAGGCAGAAACACACAGAGTGGGGAAGGTAAGCAAAAAAAAAGAAGTAAATAATAAATTTGCTTCTTGGCCCCGTTAGGTGCTGTGCAGTTGGTCGGTGCTGGTCAGGAACCGCAGAGGCATCAGTCACCACATCATTTATTTCCAGCAATTCATTCATTCAACTCCAAATACAAATATGAAAAGGAACACGAAATGAATTACATGCATGATCCTTCACGGAGTGATTCTTGCGTTGGGTTGGGCGGTAAATCACACCAGAGGCCCCAGCTAACACGTGTGTCTAGCCAGGAGTAAAATATGGCGTCAGGACATCGAGATGCTTCATATTTTGGGAATATGATCCCTGCAGGACGTGTTCCCAAAATGAATTTATCTGTATGGAAATTCTTTTAGATGGAGGATGAATAACTTTGCAATCGCAGACACCTTTGAAAAGTTGAGGTTGGCTCCATGTTTCCCAAACTGAAATATTGGGTATTTTTGGTAATAATTTTGGTTTAATATCAATTTAGGTTTAATAGCAATTTAGGTCTAATAATAAATTCGGTCTAATAATAATTTAGGTTGAATACTTCAGGTGCTAATTTTTGGTAATATTTAGATACAGCTCGGTGGTGTGGCTGGAGTGGTCCTAGAGATGATGTGAAGACAGTGTTGAGGTTGTGCCTGTAGCTGTGCACTTGTGGCTTTCAGGAGCTCTCATCCAGGAGATCTGCGTATTCCATGGGTGATTTTCATGTGGAATTATAATTTCAGGAGCCTGAGCACTTTTCCTGCCATTGGGGAACAGGGTTTGCAGGGTGGGTTGTGCCGGAAGCTCTTCAAAGGGATGGGAATTGCTGCATTCCCCATCTCTAGGGGTTTGGGATAACACCGATGCCCCGCGAGGTTTCTGCCCTGGCTCTATATTAAATCTCCATTTTCCTACTTTATTTTTTTTCCCCTTTTTTTTGGTACACCCAGATCTAATCTTCTAGAAAATGCCCCGAAGGTTTGAGCAATCTCCCAGTTGCAGGAACCCATAAAGCTCCTTTTTGAGGTTTTTTTTTTCCATTGTGTAACCATGACAAATCATTAATTTTTGATTGATTGCTTTGAATTATGGGTGCTCTGACATCCTTTCTGTAGCTGAACAGCTGTATAACAAATGAACATATCAGTGCTCACAAAAGATTGGAGATCTAACAGAAGCAATTACATTGTCAGCTCCTCCCTTCTGGCTTTTCCCAGGCAATGGAGGGAGGAAATTTTTGAGCAGAAATTCCTCAAGTGGCTAACAATAATAATAATCATCATCAAAAAATTCCTTTCTGTAATTGAATTAGATTTTTATCTCTTCATTTCCAGTGGATTTCTCCAGCCTTCAGCAGCCAGGATGAGTCTCAGCTTTGGACAACTTGGCAGAATCCCTTTGAACAAAATTTCATGTGAAGAACTCAAAAAAGAGAAAAATGAAATTGCAATTTTTGGTTGCTATTCCTTTAAGATTCCCAAATTGCAGCAGTGCACTAACTGTGACCTCCATAACTTTTAAATTAAGAATTTATGCTGGCTTGAAATTTATGAAATATTTCAACATGAAAGAAAGCCTTTTTCCCTCAGGAAAATTGAGCAATAAATCACAGCGCTCTCGATTTACTGCCCTAGAGCCAGGCAAAGAGAGGAGGTTTTCATTCCTCCCCCCTTCATTCTGAAAAAAAATAGCAAAAAAAAAAATGTAATCATCGAAGACAGCTTCGCTGCTGTCCTCCCACTCTCCAGAATTTTTAATTTCAGCTGTTTCTGCTTGGATTTATTTCCAATATTCCTGCTCGGCTTTTCAATTTCCTCAGTTATTAAATTTTAATTCAGTGCATTAGCATTTAAATTAAAAAAGGGTTTATTTTATCGAAATCGCTGGCTGGCCCCCATCCTGCTGCACATGAATTGCCTGGTTCTGCCATTTGCACAAAATGTGAAACGCAGCTCATATCTTTTAACTTGTATTTGCACAATTTCAGAAATAAAAATTCTGGGTTTTGGAATAATATTGGCTTTCCAAGGAAGCCTCCCAGTGCAGAGCCGGGGGAAGGAGGAGACAAGGAGGAGCCCCTGGTTGCTCCCTGCTCAGCCCCCTGGAATGGCTCAGAAGGGCTCGATTAGCAAACGCCTTGCTAATGAAGGGAGGTGGCCCCTCTGATCCAGCAGTGGGGCTTCGCCATCCACCTCGGATGGGATCGGCTCTTGGATGTCCATCTTGGCTTGGACACAGCACTGGGCTTGGCTATTTCTGCCTTATTTCCCTGCCGCAAACTGCATGTTTTTGCATAGGAGGGGTCATTAGACTTTGGTAAAGTGCCCTAAAATAACTGCAGGAGAGTAACGAGGGGGAATCCGCTCCGGAAGTCACCTCTGTGATGGGGCTGCATCCAAAACCCTGCGCCAGGCCCCTGCACTGGGGTTAAGCTCACAGTGTGTCCCACTGCACCGAGCACGGGGCACGTGTGTAACTTGGAATGGGGAAAAAACAGGTATTTGGGTGCATTGTGCTCGCAGGAAGGATTCAGAGGGTGGTGTTGCCTTTCTGAACCGAAACAGCCTCATTTTTTGATGTCTTTTGCCCCCTTAGGCCGACGAGAGCAACAGCAGCGGGCGGAGGAGCTCCTCCAGCAGGTAGGTGGATGTTTGCTCTGCTGGGATGGGATGTGGTGGCAAATGGGGCTCTGCTGGGATGTGGGTCTCCATCCTGGGAATGGGTGGCAAAGGGTGACCACACAGGAGGGGTGAGCTGGAGCTGGTAGAGCTCAGTGTCCATACACCTGGTTTTGGATTTTGCTAACAAGGCAGATGTGAGAAAGGTTAAAGATTGCTCTGGCCTTGGGGCTGCAGGAAGGTGCGGTTGGCATGCAGGATGGAGTGGTACAGGTGAATCCCCCAGCCCATGCCCACACTGGGTACAGACACCAACAGAGGATGGGGTGCTTGGATGGAGACCTTGGGCTGTGCTGTGGTGTGTGGATGAGGACCCCCCTGCTTCCATGCAGGAGGAGAGGAGAGAGGTGTCCCACCCCCCAGTCCCCTCTGATCCTCCTAAGGGATGTCTTTGCTGCGTCTCACTCTGGTGGGTGCAGGACATGTCAGGCTCCACGTGGGATGTGCTGAGGTTGGGTCTTGCCCTGTGCTGTAGCCTCACCCGCTATGGCATCATCATCTCCTGCTGATGCTGTAGGACACCTTAGGTTGCTGGGGTGCACTAAAGATGGTTCTTCTTGGTCCTTCTCCATCTCTATCTGGTGGAGTCAGTCCAGAGCTGTGACAGTATGGAAGAAGGAGCAGCTTTAACTCCTTGGCCAGGTACAAACTCATGGTAGCTGGTTTCCTCTACAGAGCAGTGATGTGTCGAGTGGTGCTGGGGAGATGATGGGAGCCAAGAGCAAAGCACTGCTTTGGGGATATTCGCATTTACCTGGTCCCACATGTGCTCAAAGCTGATTCCTGTTTGTCTGCCATCCAGAAGTGAAGTGGCAAATTCACCTCCTAGGTTCAGAAGGTTTTGTGGTAAACAGGTGAAGATGTAGGAGATCAGAGGTGCCAGGCTGGAAACAGCAATGATGAAGATGTACCAGAGAGGGGAGTGTGTAGCCTGGGAAGGGGATCAGGCTGCAGCATGGAAACATCCATGCGGGTTGGAGAAGAGGGTAGAAAAGTCAGCGAAGTGCCATCACATGGTGAGATGATGCACAACTTGTTGGGAGAACCACCGAGCACCTCAGGCACATTTGTGGGTTACATCAGCATGGATGGGACACAGTGGACAAGAGAACACCAGAGCCAGTTCGGCTGCCATGGAAAAGAGCCATCATGGTATGTGGGGCTGGCAACACCTCCATCAGCATCACCTGCCCATTCCTCAGCAGAGGACACAGCAGCATGGGCAGCCCCTTAACACTGCAGTGGCACAAGCAGAGGAGCTGTGATGGTGTGGCAGAAGCCACTTATCCCCACACTGGTGTGATCGGCGCAGAGCAAGACCACCACTGGTGCACCCAGACAGGGTGTGCTGGCTGCTGCTGCAGGGCTGGGCACTGCTCTCCTGCTTGGGCAGGTCACCAGCACTGCATGGAGCAGACCCTGGTGAGACACGAGACTTTTCAGCTCTGGGGCCCCAAGCACAAGAGGGACTTGGAGCTGTTGGAGCGAGGCCAGAGGAGGCCATGGAGATGCTGCGAGGGCTGGAGCAGCTCTGCTCTGGAGCCAGGCTGAGAGAGCTGGGCTGGGTCAGCCTGGAGAAGAGAAGGCTCCTGAAGGGGAGACCTGAGAGCAGCTCCAGTGCCTAAAGAGGCTGCAGGAAAGCTGGAGAGGGGCTTGGGACAAGGGATGTAGGGACAGGCCAAGGGGAATGGCTTTAAGCTGACAAGAGGGGAGCACCATCACTCCCCTCTGGCTTTGCCTGCCTTCTCCACATCTGGAGCTGCATTTCACTTCCTCCCTTTTGTACTGTCAGTGATAGCATCTCTCTGCTAAACCTTTGCCAGAGCACCTTCCTGATCACTCTGGAGACTTGGAAGCGCTACTGAAGTGTTATCCCTCAGGTGAAACACATCCTCCCATGTTAAATGCCCTCTCTTTCTTCCAATCTCCGAAATGCTGCTGTGAGTCATCCCCTCATCTCCTGCTGCTGGATGTGCACTGGGTGCTCCCCCCCACAACAACACCCCTGGTCCTTACCCGTCATTCCGGCCCCACTGCTCAGTGTGACAGGGTGAAATACCCTCATGCCTGTGGTACAGCAGCACTGCCCCGTGTTGAATGGTGCCTGCTGGGTTGGGCTCAGCAGCAGGGAGCAGTGCCAGCGTAGGATGTCTTATGGAGAGGAAAACTCTTGTCCCAGTATTGGGGTGGCTCAGCAGTTCTCACTCTTGGGATTCTGGGAACTATCCTGAGCTAAGTGCTGGGAGGATGCCTGGTCAAGGAGAAGGGAGACAGGCATCTCATCCTGCCCCTATATTCCTCATACTGACTTCTAACTCAGGTCTGTAGCACTCTCCAGAGGGTCTTACAGAGCAGGTGGGTCAGTGCATTCTACATGTGGGTGCTGACCCTCCAGGGTGTCCCTTGTGGGTGTTCTCTCTCCCTGGGCTCAGCTCAGCACCCGAGCATCCTCCTGGAGCTGTGGCCTTCCTGACGGCAGGTGCCCCAATTCCACTGAGCTCCCAGTGGGGCAACAGAACTGCATCCCATGGTGGCTGCCGCTTTGTACATCCATAGAGGTGCTGGGCTGGCCATCGCCTTTTTCTCTTAGAAAAGTAGAAACAAAATCCACTCACATCTGCCTGCCTGCAGAGAAGATGGTCAAAACCAGGACAATGACCAAGGCTGCTGAGGAAAAATTAAATAGAATAAAAGTGCAGTATTTGGAGAAAGCTGTGTCAGTGGCTGGTGGCTGAAACGTGGCTTTGACAAAAGATCTTTGGTAGCTGGAGATACCAGCTAGGTGTTTTTCAGAGTTGCTCTTGCGTGGAACTTGCAGTAGTTGCAAACTGTTCAGGAAGCTTTTAAAGATTAATTTGCATCAGTATCAAAACAAAAGCAAAGTAAGTTTGCCAGGACACCTTTCTGTGTGGCATACTCCAGCATTCTTGATCAGAAAGCGGTGACGGCAGCATTGGGTCAATCCTGGTTTTACTTATTTATTGTATTGAATTGGTTTTATTCTGTTTCAAGTAGATGTTTCAAGCTCTGAAGATACAGGATTTGTATGATCTTCTCACCCCCACAGTTGTTTGCTGCCTTTGAAATAACACGGCTCAGCACATGCAGCTAAGAGTTAGTGGCGACAGATTGTGCTCACCATTCTCCTGCCTTATTAAGTGCTGTGTGGTTCCTGTACCGCACTAATGCTTATTAATGGGAACTGTTAAAAAGTGAAGAGAATTATTAGGAGCATAGAAAAAGCCCTTCCTTCAAGGGGGCTGGAAGAGAGATGGCTGTTTGCCTTGGAGGAGGTGACAACTAAGAGACAACCTGACAAAGCTGTGTGTGTTTTTGAACACTCCAGAAAAGGTAGATCAGAGGCTTCCTTCTTCCATTTGCAAGGGAAAAAGAGACAGTCGACAAAATTAAAAGGCAGCAAATTAAAGGCAGCAAAAAGGCAGGATTTTGCCTTGTGTGATGGGCAGTTAGTGTTGGAGCGTGTTGCCAAGAGTTGGGTGCTCGAGTGGGGCTTGGAGGTCTCAACTGGACAATGGCATCAGGAGGTGATGTGGGCTCCTGTGGATGAAGCACATTGCTTGGGGACCAGTGACCTTGCTCCTACCTACTGGGAAGTTTCTTGAAGCTTTTTCTGAAGCCCCTTCTGCACATGGTGAACCAGGTTTGGTTTCTGTGAGTGTCTGGGACAGTCCTGGAGGGCTCGGCAGGACTAGAGCATGTGTGGGAGCAGCATCAGGAGCTGCAGAGCTCGGGGTAGTCATTGGGAGTTTCTGTGACACTGTTGTAAAACTAACTACTTACCAGTAATTAATGTCAGCATTCAGATGGTGGGCTCTGGATCCTGACAAGAAATAATTGAAAACCCAAATGTGCAATTATGTCTGACAAGCAGCGTGTGCTTTTCTTGGTCACCAGAGTCTTGTGTAGTCATGTGTTAGACACGGTTTTATATAATTATTATTGTTTATATGGTGGGTGTCAGAGGAAGGAAGAATTTGAGTTTCAAGTCCTCTGTTGGCTATTTATTTTAAAGTCATTAGATTTGTTTTCAGACTTAACTACACTTAATGTGCGAGACTCCTGCTGAATAAATCAGACCCTGATATAGGAACTGCATCTGTTTGCGGAGGGAACGGAGCCAGCTGGAAGCTCAGCCCCGTCTGCAACAGGGCTGTCACCAGCCGGGAACCCGCTCGCAGCACAGATGTAGCTGTGCAGAAAAACAGGCTCTGCTCCCAAGAGGAGCTGAAATCCCAGACCTTCTGGGATTATGAGCTGGCTCCGAGGGCATGGATGGGTCTTAACTTCATTACAGCATTAACAGCTCTGTGGGAGAACCAAAGAACCATAGATTGGTTTGTGTTGGAAGGGAGCTTAAAGCTCATCCAGCTCTAACCCCTGCCATGGGCAGGGACACCTTCCACTAGAGCAGCTTGCTCCAAGCCCCTGTGTCCAACCTGGCCTTGAACACTGCCAGGGATGGGGCAGCCACAGCTTCTCTGGGCACCCTGTGCCAGCGCCTCAGCACCCTCCCAGGGAAGAGCTTCTGCCTAAGAGCTCATCTCAGTCTCCCCTCAGGCAGGTTAAAGCCATTCCCCTTGGCCTGTCCCTACATCCCTTGTCCCAAGCCCCTCTCCATGTTTCCTGCAGCCCCTTTAGGCACTGGAGCTGCTCTCAGGTCTCCCCTTCAGGAGCCTTCTCTTCTCCAGGCTGACCCAGCCCAGCTCCCTCAGCCTGGCTCCAGAGCAGCATCTCTGTGGCCTCCTCTGGACCCCACCAATCTGCCAAATGCCAGAGCCTCGGTGGGCTTTGAATGGTATGAGGTGGGAAACGTCCCTTTCTGGAGCCATGAAGTACTGAGAAGTCATAGCTATAATGTCTTCAGTTACCAGGAAATTGTTTTCCATGGGTCACTCTCCTGGGCACCTTGGGCTTGTTCCGAGAATGGTGTGGAGCCTTGT